GTATATATATATAAAGGGAGGACATATCATATCGTATCATATTATTATAGCGTATCTTATTATATAAGAAACAACTAACTATTCAATAGTTTGATATATAAAAAAAATTTGGTTTTAATTTCTAAAGAATATCATTATTCATATTATTATGAAAATATTTATATGTTATTTATATATATACTGTATTTACTGTACAACCGTATAATAAATTTAATTTAAATATTTCTATTATATTTAAGTGTATATATAATTTATAAGGAATTGTATCAATCAAATATAAATTGTATTGAATATAATATTTTTTTATTAAATTATCTATTATATTATTTTTATTTTTTTCTATTATGATTTTAATTAATATGTTATTAATAAAAAACTATTTGTTAATATGTTTTATTTATTTTATTAAGTTATTTACTGATTATAAAAATAACATTTAAAATTTATTATTAAAAATAATAAATATAATAGATTATCAAAACAAATATAACAAATATTTATTACCCGGAACAGTATACATATATAAATTATAATTATTAATTATAGTAGTGGTTGCAAACTTTTATTATTGCTTTATTACTTTATTATTATTATTATTATTATTAGTAGTAGTAGTAATATTATAATTATTAAATAAACAATATGTGTGTATGTATTTATTTTTATCATATAATTTATATGTATGAACAATAATTGAAAAAAATATAATATTTAAATTTTATTTTTCTTAAAATGTCAAATCCTATTTGAATATCTATATTAAGCAATCATTCAACAATACAATAGGAATTTTTTTTTCTATATATTGAAAAACAAAACAAAAAAAATATATATACAGAATAAAATTATAAATAACAACTTGTGTGTCACAATAATAATCATAATAAATGGTAGTCTCTCTCTCTCTCTCTCTCTCTCTCTCTCTCTCTCTCTCTCTCTCTCTCTCTCTCTCTCTTTCATTCATTTAATTTACAGGCATTTGAAAAACACAGTCATATACAGTATATTGTGCTTAAAAATTGCATAATGTCTTTATATACTGGTATCGTCAGCATTCAGTATCAAAATACCTGTTGATTCAATAGTGGAACGGTATATATACTGTATATATATATATATAATAGATAAATCATAAGAGGAAAGGGAATACTGAGACATAAAAAAATGTGTATTTTAATAGAAATATAAGAAAATTCAAGAGAGAAAGTGGCTAAAAAAACCTCCCAAAAAATTATATATATATTATAGAGACTGTATATAAAGTCTCTATAAATATAAGAAAGTTTACAGTGATATGACAAACCATACTATTAGCACACAAATGTCGTCATACATGAGGTGTCGGTATTTTTCATTTAGTTTTTTTGGGAGTTTTATTTGCCGCACAGGTATTCACATTATATTGTGCTATAATTTTATCCTACTATCTCTCTCTCACTCACTCACTCTCTCCTTATTTCACATATATTATTATTATAAGTCAAAGATTTTAAAACTAAATTACTTTTTTTTTTGCTTTATATGTGAACACAAGGGAATGGATAAACATTTTTTTTGTATTTAACCAAAAAATTGACATTGATGACATATTTAGCATATTGAAGTATTACAATATTTCTATAGTATTGTACATGTTTTAAATAAAATAATGACTTTATAATCGCAAAAATTATTTAATTAGAAAAACTTTCGTTAAAAATTGAAATGTTATTTATTAGTTGACATATAAACAGTATATATTGTATTGAATATTAACTTTTAACCGGCGACTAATGGGCTGACTTGAACTTTTGCGTAAAGCACCGGGAGTTCAGCGGGCTATTACATCAAGGCTTTTAATAATAATGCTTAAGCTCAATGAGAGAGGCACCGGGTGTATATTAGAGAGAGATTGTGTTATAATAATACCGGTGCTTAGTCATTGTGTGCCTCATAAATATAGATCTCAGAGAATATATATATATAAATAATGGGAATCAATGGTCATTGAGTTGAATCTGAAAAACACAACAACGATAATCATTTGAGTTGTTGGACCATTCAATGACACCACACATATACACATACACAGAGTCTGGGCACCGGTCAAAGTGATTGATATCTTAATGTTTTTGGGCCTTTAATGAGCCAAATGTCATAGTCTGTGTATTTGTGTATGTGTTGGCAAATGGCCCAATACAGGGATAGCACAGGTATATGGCTTATGTGTGTGTGTGAATAGATATATATTGTTAATAACCCTGATGGGTTAGGTTAGATTCAGGTAAAAGAGTGGAAATACGTAAGGAGAGTACTATGACTTACTATTTGGAAAAGATATTTTGTTTGGTGGTCCTCCTAAATGAGGGGAATGGGACACAACGGAAATGACTTTCATCGACTATAAGAGAGACCCTCAAAACAGACATTAAGTGTCGGTCGGTATTATCAATACTAAGAGGAAACAGTGGTTTGAGTGTTAAATATATATACAGAAACAAAATCATTATTTATTTTATGCAACAATTTGTGGAATATCTTTACATGACTTGGGAATAGATATACACTCTTCAATTTTGTCAGTCATATACTGTATACAGTATACTATCTATCTATATATGTATGTATGACTATCTTAATGACTATTTGATGTCTTCACTCAATTATTAACATCATTATTATAGTGGTGGTCGGTGCCACTTAAACTACCTGTGCGACATATGGTTATTATGTAATATAGATGTATGTGTGTATGTAAGGAAAGGGAAAGAAAAAAAGAAAGAGAGAGAATTGAGTGTAATTTTTATAGTGATTTACAGGTAATAATGACTGACTCGACAATTATCTCTCTCTCTCTCTCTTTCTCTAACTAACTATGGTATCATAAAAATAACATTTGATATAACACTATAAAATGAATAATCATTAATGTATATAATAAAAGATTGTGTGCTCTCATGAGAATCTCTATACACTTTTATTTGATGACAAATAAATAACACTTGAAAATAATATCTATTTTATATATCGTATACTATACTATAATATAATAAAAATAAAATAAGGAGATCACACACTTGTTGTTATGACTTAATTATTATTATCTTTATGGATACACATTCAACATATGGTAGTAATGACTTAAATAAAATTTAACACAACTTTATAGCTAAAAATAAAATAATCTGATAGATAATGTATTATTTATTGTATATCAAACTGTATGGTAAAAAAATCGTAATAATCTCATAGCACACACACAAATCAGTCATTAATTTTCAAACTATTGTATCAAATATAAGATGTGAATGTTTTCATACCGATTGTTTGAATCAATTGAAGAAAAAACTCAGTTTATATATAATATGACTAATACTTGAGATTTTCTTTATTTATTGGGATAAGTATGTGATAAACGATGAATGAATAGCACAGGGAGTTAGTGATCGAGAGTTTGTGTGTTTGTGTGAGTGAGTGAGTAATTGAAAGAAATTTTTGCTAAATAACTATTAAGTTAAAAATATCAATATATTTATATATTATATACAGTATAAATAGCTATTAAAAATAAACTATTGATAGCAGCTCTCTCTCTCTCTCTCTATCTCTCTCTCTCTCCAAATGGGATTAGTAATGGACAGACAATTGGAAAAAGAAAAATACTGTAAAATAGATTGTATAGTATATATAATAAGTGATTGAAAATTGATTTTTTCTCATTCAATTGGTGTCAAGTATTAGCTAAAAGTGAGTTAAAATAAGTACAGGGAGGGGAACTATACACACACACACACATGGAGGTAGTTGTTGACCTATGGGCCATAGGCTAAGTCTTTGTATCCATGTGTGGGGGGCATTGGTGTGGTGGTGGTGGTGCAGGTGTCGGTATACAAACATACACAACACAACTAATCTCAAATGGCAGTCATTTATTTCAATAGCTATGATTTGCTACCAAAAAAAAACTTATAATAACATCAAAAACTGCCAACAATTTTGAACGAACTTAAGGTGTACTGTATTTACAGACTAGAGCACCGGTATGTATGTATGTATGTATGTATCGAAACTGTATTTAAACAAAATTTTTAAAATTTATAAATATACAGCACTGTATGTGTCGGAGACATACAGTACAGTACATACATACCAACCAACAAAAATTTATGTAGACTCCTATGTAAACATTAGCTCAATTTTTTTTGTAACTATAGCTTATTTATTTGGTGTCTCAATAATTTTATTTTTTTTAAAGCCGACAGTGCTTTATAGGGATACACCAGTAGTAGTAGTGGTAGTTATTATTAGTGGGCGATGGGAACTGCCATCAGGCACTGGCATTCCTCTCAAGTTTATGTAATTTACTGTAATTTTTTAAAGTTTAAAAATAATATTTACATTAAAAATTCTACGTTTTTTTAAAAAAAAAATTAAATTAATAATGAATAAAACATTTTTTTTATTTACTATCGCTATATAAAATTTTCTCTAGATATGTATATTATTATTATTTTTTTGAAAATAATTATTAAAATATCAAATATAATTTATAAAAAAAATTACACTGACCCAGGCTATGACAAACATAAACTTGGTAAAAAATACTTTATAATGTAAAAAATTATTTAGTCATTATTATTAGATATAAGGTTAAATAAAATTAGTTATAATTTATAATCAATATGAGTGCAAATAAATAAATTGTTTTGAAATTATTATTTATAATTAATTGAAATAATACTATAAATTAATTATATTATATGGCAATATAGCACATCATAATTCAAATATGGACTAATTGAACATAAATAAGTTAAATAAAAAATAAATATATTAATAATAATGTCATATTTTATATGGCAATATGTTATAAAGTATATACTTTTATATAAAAATTAATATCATTATATTCAATAAAATTACATTGAATAATATTTACAACAATCATTTATTTTTTAATTTAATGAAATATATTATACAACAACAAAAATTAATTGTGATTATTAATCTAAAAATTGACAATTGATTAATAATATTACTGAACTTTATAAACATTTAACTTAATAAACAAGGTAATTAATTAAATATTTTTTTCATAAATACTAATTAATTAATTATCAATAAAATCATAGCATCATTGTTTAAGAAAAAAAACTATATAAACAGGATTATAATTATTTAAAATTTTAATCTAAAATATTGATTGAAAAAATTATTATTTTATTTTTTTTGCAAATTAATAGAAGAAAAAATCGCTAAATAAAAACAAAATGAGCAAGTTAATATTGTTAACATTTGCTATTATATTAGCAACATGCATGTTGTCCTGCATATCATGTAAGTGATTATTTAATTTGTTTAATATAAGATTTTTAATTATTATTTAATTTTTATTAAAAAAAATTACTATTATAATAACAGGTGAATCGGGTGAGTGTTCGTGGTATGGGACGGGATTGAAAGGGGCGCTGACGGCCAGTGGCGAAAAGTTTGATCCCAATGCTCTGACAGCAGCGCACAAAACATTGCCTTTCGGTACAATGGTTCGGGTGTCGTGCAATGGCCGTACAGTTGTTGTCCGTATTAACGATAGGGGACCGTTTGTTGCCGGACGTATACTTGACCTCAGTGTTGCCGGTGGTCAACAGCTAAACATTATCAATGCTGGTCTATGTCAGTGCACTGTTGATAAAGCATAACAACATCACACCCACCCATACTCACTGTAATGTCAAATCAATTTGAATTAATTATTATTCAATAATATTAAATTATTTTATTATATATAAAATTAGTATTATTTTATTTTTGTTTTGTTTTGTTTTTTTTAACTTAAAATAAAATTTATTCAAATATTACATTAGATTAATATGTAAATTTTTTTTATTAATGTTAATTTACTAATAAAAACATACTTTACTTTTTTTGTTTGTTTTAATTTCTAAGATTTGATGTAAAACATAAACATATAAATAATCTTTAGAAATAAGTTTCTTTAAAAAAATTTTTGAAATTTTTATTTTTTTCTGAAATATTTCCATTGAAATGATAGTTTATAAAAAAAAAATCTTAAATTACAGCATTTGATTAGATCTATAAATTTTTAAGAAATTTTATGTTAGATATATTACATCAAACTATATAACATATTTTATATTAACAAAAAAATATGTGTCTCAACTCATTTACTCTGAGATGTTTGAACACAGAAAAAAATCATAGTTTTAATTCATGGGATGTGTTATGGATGGTATAGTTAGTCAATGGGCCGTTCCCTATGCATCTTATATATAAATGAAACAAAATTTATTAAAAAAAAAACTATACTAACTCTTGTTATACAATTTTTTTAATAAACAAAATTTTTAAATATGCATTTTTAGTTAGTATTGTAAATGATTTAATGTAGATGTGTATCATATAATACCCCAAATATGATACGATATTAGATATATGATGTCAACATTTTTATTTTAGACAGGCATACAAGCCTTTATTTTATGCAAGCATTGCATCCTCTAAATTATGATAGAAGTGCTGGAAAGTGGTGGTCGTATTCAATGGTTGATTGCAAATATTATGTCATCCCTTTCTCTCACTCTTTTACACTCTCTCTCTCTCTCTCTCTCCTCTCTCTCTCTCTCTCTTCAAATGGTAATATTAAGTAATAAATATACGATATGTTAGACAAGACAGGCAAATATAAATACTTATCTCATATATACAGATATATATATAAATATAAATATATTTATATATAAAATCGAGAACCAAAGGAATGGGAGATAAACAACAACAACACTGAAATAGTTGTGAATATTATTATTATTATTACAACAACTAAAGGATAGAGTCGTAAATAATCTCATAGTTATGTATAGTTATATGTTTATGGCATTATCATTGCTTATCATTATTATTGTTGTTATTTCAATCGTTGACTCTTTTTTATTTTATTTCTATATTTCTATTATCTACTCGTATAACAAGGGATTATACCCGACACAGTGCGCCCCTTAATACATAACCTTTTTTTATAGCCCTTTCCTCCTATTTCCATTAAACACATATAGCGATGGTCATAAAAACAACAACAAAATAATAGTTATAAATATTATTATATAACCGACAGCAGCTTATTGTGTATATGTGTACATACTGTATGTATGTATGTGTGTGTATACCGATTACACCATCACTTGTTATAATCACTCAGTAATGTACTGAATATATATAAAAATAAAGTATAGACTATTACTGTATATCATACAAGTTATATAAAGTATTTTATGTGTGTATGTATGTGTACTGTATATTACAATAAACTATTTTACCAAAAAAAAAAATCTATGGGAATGTCATTAATTTTATTATTATTTTCATTTTTCTCTCTAACTATATATGTATTATACTGTAACATAAGCTAAGATAATATATGGTCAGGTAATAAAAACTAGATATGCCTATCGATTAACTCCTACATAACTTTGCTCTCTCTCTCTCTCTCTCTCTCTCTCTCTCTCTCTCTCTCTCATTCATTCATTCATTCATTCATTTACTCACTCACTCACTCACTTTTGCTATGATCTGTTATAAGTATCTATGACTTTATGTATATATAAATTTATATTATAATATATAGCTATTTTTCTTGTTATTTATTAGTTATTTATTTTCATAATTTCTCTCTCTTTCTCTCTCTCTCTCCCTCTTTCTTTCTCTTTAATCATTGATATTGTCGGCTCATATATCTATACACTATGACTGTCTGTGTGTGCGCCCCCTCCAGTCATAACAGATGCTTACCTTCTACCCCCTCTGAATGTCCCCCAATTAGAGTGAAAATTGCCAGCGCTTCCACAAAAACGGATCATTATTAAGATATATCCAAAAATGATAAATAACAGGCAATAATAATATTTATCGTTTGAAGCACTGGTATCTCACTATTTGATCAGACAATCATTGCATTAGTCTTTTATTTTTCAATAAGTCTCTCTCTCTCTCTCTCTCTCTCTCTCTCTCTCTCCCTCTCTCTAACTAACTAACTATCTATCTGTCCATCATTTTTCAAAAAATCTATCGTTACTGTTAATATTACCTGTAAATAAAGGAAAGTCATATATAATATATGAAATGACCATAAATAATATCAGTGTTGTTGTTGTGAAAACTACAAAACCAATAAATATCTACACATTTATAATATATATATATAATTCTGCGTACAATTCATTAATCCATAAAACTATTTACTTTATTGTTTGGTGTTTTTTTCTCAACTATACATTGCTATTATATTGAGTGTAATTTATGGCAAATGAAATTTCAATAATAGACTTTCAGTTATTTTTAAATTTATTTTTTTTGTCTCTCTCTCTCTCTCTCTCTCTCTCTCTCTCTTTCTCTCTCTTTGTTTGGCTCTCTTTTGTTTGTTTTTTTTAAATAATAGTAATAATAATAATATATCTCAATTCAATTCACTCGAAAAAATTTTAACTCAAAATAGCAAATGATTATTAAAAAAAAATAATAATAATACAAAACAAGCAAATCATTATTGTTTTGCCAAATAATACATTTATTATATTAATAGTATATAGTATACAGTAAATAAATTTAGAATTATTATTATGTTTGTATATAATAAATAAAATTTAATTTTTATGAAATGTAAAAATATGCTTTTATATTTGAACCAATAAATTATAACAATTATTATTATTGAAATACATATTTATATCTCTCAGTGTTATATATTTATGTATACTATAAGACATATGCCAGACATAAACGGATTAACTATTGTTTGGCCCTTTGACTCCCTCCCCCTCAAAAAAATGTGAAAAATAATAATAATAATATCTTTTCATTTTAGATGTAACACATAAAACACAACAACAAAACAATAGATATGCATTGATTTCGTGTATAATGTTATATACAGTATAATTTTATATATATATAACTATTTATTTATTATTTTTAAAGCAAAAAAAGTGCAAAAATAACTTTATTTAACAGCAGCTAAATATAAAAATAGCCAATAATTTTAAAAACAAACAATTGAAATGTACCATAAAAATTGATTTTGATTTAAATTTTATTATTTTTTTTTTGAGTACAACAGACTCGTGAAAACTAGTGTAAAATATTTTTATTAAATATAATTTTTTTAAAAATAATAATTTTAAAAAATATACACTTAAATATTTACACAAATTTTTATTTTGTCTAACAAAATGAAAAATCAAACACATATCTACTGTATTATGAGCACTGGGGGTAAATGAGTGTTTAGGGAGGACACTGGGAGGTTTTTAGATTATCAGCAATGCACACACACACACACACACACACACACACACACACACATTGAGTGGTAGCTAAAAAAAATATTAGGGATAAGCAAAAAGATATAGTAAAACATAGTAAGTGTGGACCAACTCTCTTGTGTTGACTAATAAAATAAAAGATTAATTTAAAGTCTAATAATACTATATGTTATAGTACTGTATTTGTGTAACAACAACAAAAAATATGTGTGAATACTAGTGTTGTTTCAAAAACTATATATATATTTGTGTGTATTTTTCACTTAAAAACATACAGTTTTAAAAAAATAGTTGACTCATTTTGATGTACAATATATGACTTATCTATCTTTTCACTCCTCTGTTTAAGTGCTGAGCAAAGAAAGCACTGTCAGATGAGATTGAGATGAGAAGAGAGAGAGAGAGAGAGAGAGAGAGAGAGAAAGAGGATCGGGAGTTAAGGATAGATATTAGAGAAGCAAATAGGCGTAACAGACAATCGGTATAAAACAGTATTGCAAACATTGGCTGAATTTTTTTTGAAGACCAACAACAACACCACCGAAACCAACAGATGTGACACTTTATATACCAAACAATTTATATCCAATAGATAGTTATATATATATATACTTTAGAAGTATTACTACATATTGTAAAATGTGAGGAACAGTATGTCTAGATGGTATGTGCTGTATATGAGAAACGATATTTACTTTGTGTGTACACTTAAAGAGAGAGAGAGACTTTAAATATATTCTCTCTCTCTCTCTCTCTCTCTCTCTCTCTCTCTCTCTCTTTCTCTAACTCTATGGTACTTTAGAGAGACATTGAAAACAACATAAACTCCAAATAACGTTAAAAGTATTGTTGACTTTTTGGATTTAAAGAGGAAATGTAAAGAAAAACATTAAAAACTCAAACACTATTTGTATTTATATATATATATATATATATAAAAGGCACTGAATTCTCAACAGAATCTAAATTCTGTCAAATTCTCTCTCTCTCTCTCTCTCTCTCTCTCTCTCTCTCTCTCTCTCTCTCTAGTATTGATTAGTTGAGTGCCAGTAGTACTAGAAGTGGTAGTTATATAAATAAAAGCATTAAAGCAATAGTAGAGAGAGAGAGAGAGAGAGAGAGAGAGAGAGAGAGAGAGAGAGAGAGAGAGAGAGTTTTAAAGATATTTATATAATTACGAGTCTTGTCGTGTAATGTAATGCAATGTACAGTAATCTAATGGCACACACAAAACAAAACACCATTTATATCATTATAATATGTAAAGTATTGTATTTTATACAGTATTGTTACTATTGATTAACTGATTACTATTGTAGAGTGAGTAAAGGGAACCGGAGGAAAGTCATACAACTACAACAACACAAAT